TGAAACACATCTGAATGTGCAGTGGTGATGGAAAAGTGAACAGCATAAGGCTTCCAGGCAGTAGGATTAGCCAAAGTTTTTCCTAATAAAAATGCTATTCCTAGTAAAACCAAAACTTCGTTTTTTCCCCCTCGTAAGTTAAGTTGTTTCTAATTCATAATAATACTCTTAAAGTGTGTTCTGTGTTATGATTTGAGTTACTACAGCTCTATATTAACCAGAACTGTGAAGTTCTTTAATTACTGACCTCTGGATTCTGAGGCAACTCTTTTAACGGACTTCTGATTGTCCATTGAGGTTTAATCATTTAAGCATTATATTTTATATTTGAATCTCTTCACTGAATAGGAATAAAGAAATGAAGGAGTCCATTCTGTAGAGTCCATTCTAAACTACTAATCGACTTCTGTCAGCAGTCACTGCCATGTGTTTCGGAGAAAGGTATTTGGAAACCTTAGAGGAAACAAGGGAGTAAGATAACTTCCCAATTAAAAGAATAAAACTTTTTTCATGGTTTGTTGACTTACGTGCCATAGCTCAGTACTTGTGTCCCCTTTAAAAGCTTTTGACGTGTCTTGTTTTCACAACAGTTGCGATTAGGTGGGGTTGGTCTTTATTTATTTATTTATTTATTTATTTCCACAATTTTTTCCTGTTACCAGGATGAAAAAGAATCTCCATAGGGAAAATGAGTAGTCCCTTTAAGCTTTTTTTAATGCAAGGTCTCACTGATGTCTTATGCACAGCAGAGTTTTGTATTGGTAGTTGGAATTCTTTTTTCTTTTATCTACTTAGTCTTTTCTGCTCTGAAGTTAATAGGATGCCTGCCTCCTCATGTTTTATTAGTTAGGGTGAATGGATCAGTTTTATTAGTTAGGGTGAATGGATCAGTTTTCTTAAATTTTTATTTCAGCTTTTCAATAATAGTCTCAATCATAGTATTTAATGACTGACATTCTAACCATATTTTTAAAGAATATCAACAAATCTCTTTTTTTAAACAGTCAAGAGAAGTCAGTACCTACTAATATTCCTCAGTCTATTATTATTGATATGAGTGTTTTTATATTTTTTTGTTAATATGTACTACCAATGTAATAGGTATTCTTATCAACTTTTGGTAACCAACATAGCAAGGCATGAGATAATTGTGAAGCAGATCTGGCTACAAAGTTCTCTAATTGATTAAATTTCCTACTTTATTTGTGTGTTAGGTGTAGTTCTTTGCTTTTTTTTTTTTTTTTTTTTTTTTTTTCCCTGCTAACTTTTCTGAAAGATGGGAGGTTTTCAAAGGAAATGTTCTACTTTGAGTGGTACATTATTTTTTGATCAGAGAGAGGAGTTTTTTCCAAGAGTGTTTAGCAGCCACACTGCTGCTTCTTTATGGTATGCATATGTAGTAAGTTGTTAACCTTTACTGCGTTTTCATGGCAGAGTTTAGTGTGGTAGTTTTTGTCCGTTTTGATAAGCTTATTAAGAATGGCCTACAAAAATTTTTGTATAGAAGGAAATTAAATATTCAGTGGGTTAAATCAAAGTAAGTTTTCCATCAGAATACTGAAGGATGCTGCTGAATGCTTTGTATCAGGAATAGTGTGGCCAGCAGGACCAGGGAGGTGATCGTCCCCCTGTGCTTGGCACTGGTGAGGCCGCACCTCGAGTACTGTGGTCAGTTTTGGGCTCCTCACTACAAGAAGGACATCGCGGTGCTGGAGCATGTCCAGAGAAGGGCAATGAAGCTGGTGAAGGGTCTAGAGCACAAGTCTTATGAGAAGCGGCGGAGGGAGCAGGGGTTGTTTAGTGTGGAGAAGAGGAGGCTGAGGGGAGACCTTATTGCCCTCTACAGCTACCTGAAGGGAGGTTGTAGTGTGGTGGGGTCGGTCTCTTCTCTCAAGTAACAAGTCATAGGATGAGAGGAAACAGCCTCAAGCTGCGCCAGGGGAGGTTTAGGTTAAATATTAGGAAAAACTTATTCACGGAAACAGTAGTCAGGCAGTGGAACAGGTTGCCCAGGGAAGTGGTTGAGTCCCCATCCCTGGAGGTATTTAAAGCCATGTAGATGTGATGCTTAGGGACATGGTTTAGTGGTGGACTTGGCAGTGCTAGGTTAACGGTTGGACTTGATGATCTTAAAGGTCTTTTCCAACCTAAATGATTCTGTGATTCTATGGTAATATTGCACCCAACCTAAGTTAATATGCATGCGATGAGCAACTTGCTCCCAGACTTTTAAACTAATCTCTTCTTGCTCATTTGCATCAATTACTAGTCTTTCATTTGTCTGTAATGTGTATGTGAACGAGGATATAATTTTGCTATCAACTTTAGCTTTTCTCAGTTCAGGACAGAAAAATCAACAATAGACTGTAGACTTTGTGGATGTATGTTATGTATAAAATGTTACAGCTTATAATTATTTTTGAATAAGATGTTAGTAGCTTGGGAGTGTTCTGACACAGAAGCATGTATTTGTTTATCTAGTATATTTACCGATTCTTTTTAATTTATTTTTTTTAGGAGGGGAACATGCATTAATATTCATTTAGAAATTCTTTATCAAAGATTTTTGGCTTTGTAGAAGCTTACAGAAAAGAGTACACTGTGTGCCTGAGGAGATCACAGTGGGAAATTCTTACAGAAAAACTCCTATTAGGTAACCGTGGGCCTGGTCTTAAGAATAGCCGAACAAAGGCCCACTAAAATAGCAAGTCATAATTAGGGTATTAATCAAGTAGCTATGTAAAGCCAGTCATAATTATGTTTAGTATATCACTGAAATACTTCATGATAATGATAACTTCATGTTTGTGGTATTTCGTAGTGTGGAATAGTAAATTTTAAAATGACAGTCTACAGAGTTGATTGTCAATACAAGGATGACCTGTGATAAACATCTTAAAATGTAAAGACTGAGTTCTGCCTGCAATTGTGAAATTGCTTAGGTCTAGGCGTGGTAATATGTGGGATTGTGTCTTTTTGAAGCACATTGTTTTCCTGGAGAACTGACTGAGGTCATTCCAAGGCCTTTGGGTTTGAGGTGATGAAGTAAGCCTGTCTCCCCTTCCTCTTTTTTTTTCCCCCTCTTTTTTTTTTTTTTTTAACTAATGTTTCTTGTCTTCACAGCAACTTATTCCATATGTTGAAGAAGATGGCTCCAAGCACGATGATCGTGGTGCTGCAAGCCAGCTTCGTTTTGCTAGTGAAGAGAGAAGGGAAATCATGGAAGTAAATAAGGTAACGAAGTTGAAATTAATTTGTGTAAAACTGTCACTTTGTCATTGCAAAGCTTGAATAACTAGATTGCTGTACTAAATGCAGAATGTGTGATGACCACTATCAAACTTGGTAATAAGTACTTCTTGCATGTAACTATTTCAGAATTGCCTTTTAAGCAGGTTTTTTTTTTGAGCTGTACCTCTGGCTGTAGAGTTTAGGTTTCTTGACAATTTTAACTTGTGCCTCTTTTTAAACCAATATATATTCTTCTGAATACGGTGTGTTATGTTTATGCCTAACCTACTAGATATCGGCAGTACAGATTGAGTTAGGGTGCCTGTTGAACTTACTTCCCTTCAAAACTTACCTTAGGCATTAAAAAAATGGGTATTGAACATCCGATGTGTAAATATTATCACAGTGATGTGAGTTGCTAAAGGATTTTCATGGCTACTTTCTGTATTTTGACAGTTTGAGGAAGACCATTCCTTTTGTTAAATGTAGCATTTATTGAATCTTGACACATTCAGAAAAAATGTACTGTGTATCATAAAGATGCTGTCAAATTTTCAGTTTGAGTGGCAATATGCAATTGAGTACAATTACTGAAGATGGATTCAAATCTAAAAATAAATATGCTGTAGTAAATGCTAATATAATACTGAGATTAAAAATATGTAGTTTTACCAGACCACAATTTTGAACATTGTTTCTCCAATCTGTAAAGTACAAAGATAGGATTAATTAAATACTTCTGTAGCTGTAATATCTGTAAATGCTTGGTAAAAAGGAGGCGTAATCTACAAAAATAACCAAACAAAGGAAATAAATGAGTAAAATATTTCTTTATGGAGAGAATAATTGGTGGATTTTCAGCTTTTTAAATATTTCTGATATTTTAATTTGTCTTCAACAATTAGAGATACACCGAATTTTTCATAACCCATTTATGTAGAAAAATGTGTGCATGTTGTGCAGGAGAAAATGGGGACTACGTGAATTTAGAGAAAAGCAGTTGTCAGCTGTCCTGTTGTATTCTTTCTGTTCAGTGCTGATGTAGCAGGGTTGTATATATTGTATGTAATGTTGTACTGTGAATTTATGCACATTTATTTGCAATCTTTAACTGTTAATAAGCTTAACTGTCCATATTTGCTGTGTTTTAGATAGTTTTATGACATATTTTTGCCCTTGTTGTTGTACTTGTATGCTAATATGTTTTTAAACCTCCTTGGTGTGATCTTGTGAAAAGAATTTCATAAATGTTTATGATGAGTTCTAAACCTTAAAAAGATTGATGGTGTTACAGGACCATTGGTAGCAAATTGGTAGTTAAGAATGTACACAGACATGGTCTAAATCTGGTCTGAAATCCTGTATTTACACTAAAATGCCTAGACCTAGTTTCCAAATTTTCCACAGTAAATCCTCAGAAGATAGTTGAACTTTCTCTAGTATTTTTGTGGACAAATATTTACTAACTGCTTCAAAAGAAATTTAAACTTCTTGGTTTTGAAAGTGCACTGAAGTTTTTATTTTGTCTCTCTCCAGCTGTATAAGCATATCCACTACCAGTTTCAAAGTTCTAATTTTAATACATTACAGAATAGGAAATGCTTTGGGTTTTTTTATGACTAGAAATAAATTCTTGGTTTTGCAAAGAAAAATCACTAGAATATGGTTAGTTGGTCTAATTTCTGACACTGGCTGCTGGGCTCAGATAGCCCTCTCTGATTCTTAGCTGTCACTCCTGCCAGCTTTTTAGTTCTCTGTAGTATGTAATGTCCATCTTCAACTCAATTTTGCTTAATTTATTTTAGCAAAATTTCAGTCATACAAAATGTTGATGAAAATGCTGTGACAAGGAAACCAACATGACAGATGAAAAAGCTTTTTATATTCTTGACCCACTATCTTTTCTTCCTTCAGCTGGTTGGCTTGCTCTCACCTAGTCCTTTTTGCTGTGATACGCAGTATTTTTTCAGTCTTGCATGTTACTGGTGCCAAAAAAAAAAAACATTATTGCAATAACCCAATACTTTGACACTATTGAGACATTTGAATTCTTAGACCTTTCACTGGTCTCTTAACCCCTTCTTGCTGTGATATCCCACCCGGTCTGATCTCTTTAATGGCTCTGGATGTATCTGAAAGACACTGACTGCCCTGCAGCGTGGAGCACAGCCACAACTAGTAGATCATGTATTCTCACACAAAAATATCCCTCCTTCCAGGAACCACTGACTTGAAACATAGCAGCTCTGCTTTGCTACCACAGTTGTCTGGGAAGGGAGCATCCTCAGTGGAGGAGGAGAGAGGAGCATTGCGTACTTCCTATACTCACCATCTCACTCATGGGGCAGGAGAACCTGTTGATGTGGCACAGTTCTGAAATACTGCAGTAGCTTTTGATGTTGGTTACTGTATAGTGACATCTTTTGGTCTTATTTATTTATTTATTCTGCTATATTAGACTTATCTTTTAGGTCAGAAAGTTTAATGTGCTCACCTTGGCTAAGAAATACTTGTCCATTAATTTAAAATACAGATCAGTTTACAAGGTAATGAATTTCTGTCCTATCGATTCAGTAATATTTAGCAACTGTAGGTTTAAATAAAACCTATCAAGCTTAAAAACAAAAGGGATTTTTGCCAGCACTAAGAAGAGTGCACCATTGTTATAAAACAACCAAAGAACCCGTTTATTGAGCTCTGACTACGTCTACCTTTACTACTAAACAATTCTCTCCTGTAGTTCCCAAAAATGTTACTTATTCCTTTTATCTATATTTGCTTTCTGGGGTTGTAAATTGTTGAGGTGGTTGACTCTTTTCTGTAATAAATAATTTACTGTTCCAGAGTCAGTTTAGTATTTGCATTGATCTAGTAATACAAATCCTGATCCATTTTTGACTGAAGATAATTACTATTTGCAACAATTGCAAGCTGTTACTAAAATTTCCTTGCTTGTCTTCATATTTTTTGAGTCTTTAATGTCCTATCTACAGGTTTTTTACCTTCTAAGTACATCATCATCTGTAATATTTTCAAGATGTCAGGCTCACCTTGGGTCCACGGTCTTGTAGTACATTTGACATGACTTACAACAGAAAATATCAAATCACAGACTGAGAACACTTTAATCTGTGTTGCTGCCTTATCAGCAGTTTTCTTTACTGCTTGGTTTTAGAAGTGGAGCAAGTACAGCTTTGGTTTTTTAGATACTGTAGGTCTGGTTTCAAATGAAGCACTTAGGAAAACCATTGCATGATTAGTAGTCTCAATACATTTGGGTGAAAATGAAATGATGTGAAATAGCATTAGGACATTCCAGGTGACCCTTTAGAAAACAATCATGTTTTATATTCTTAATTAATCTTTGCTAACTGTTTAACAGTGATCTTGCTAAGAGAGGAAAAGACAATGTATATGACAGGCTTGTAAGTTAAGCTGTTAGAAGTTTAGCTCTGGGCTTTTTTGATAACAAAACCATTGGTGCACTGCAGCTGATGTTGTTTAGGGAAGTAGTCCTTAAAATGACAGCAATGTGCAATTAGTCTTTCTCTTTGGAGAACTTTACCTGAAAACTACTTTTGACTATGCTGAAAACCTTCATTCCTTTTAAACTGTCTTTCACGCTATTTGCATATATTTTTAATTTGTTCTGTATTTGTAGAGTCCTTTTTGACCCAAAATATGAATGTGCACCAAGGAACACTTTAACAAGAGGGGAAGAATTGTTTATTTGGACACCTTCTCAGCAGATTAATCTGCACTGGGGGCAGTTCCATCCTGTTTTGGGTACTCAAACTGGCTCTCTGCAATGGTAGAATCATAGAGGAATTTAGGTTCAGTGGGAGGTCCACAGATTATCTGATTCAACCCCCAGCTCAAAGCAGGGTCAGCCAGCAAAGTTAGATCCAGTTGCTCAGGCTCATATCCACTAGCATTTTGAATATCTGTAAGGTTGGAAATTCTGCCCTTTCTGGGCCCTTCTTAAGTGTTGACTTTCACTCTGAAAGTTTTCCTAATGTTACATTGGAATTTTCTTTGTTGTAACTCATGTCCACTTCCCCTCGTCCTTGTGCTGTGTACATTCAAGAAGAGTCCAGCTTTGTCTTTTCTATGATCTTCATTAGGTAGCTGAAGACAGCATCGTGATCCCGCCTTAGCCTTCTCTGCTTGAGACTGAACAAATATAGCTTTAATCACCTTGGTGGCCTTCCACTAGACATTCTTCAGTATGTTAGTGTTTTGTATTGAGCCCCAAATTGGACAATCGTTCTCCAGAGCCAATAGAGGAGAATAACAATTTCGCTTGACCTGATAGATACACTCTCGCTAATATAGCGCAGCGTGCAGTTAGTCTTCATTGTTGGAAAAAGATCCAATGCTGACTCATGTTCAACTTGTCAGAAAGTTTCAAAAAGAATCTCAGGTCCTTTTCTGCAAATCTCTTCTCTGTTCAGTCAGGCCTCTGCCTGTGCTGTTGTATGAGTTTTACTCTGTTTTCAGACGTAGAATGTTGCTTTAATTGAAGTTCCTGATACAGATGTTGGCATGCCTTTCCCACCTCTTGAGGTCCCTCTGAATTGGACATCCTACCACTGAGTATATTGAACACTTCCCCCCGTTTGGGATTGTCCACAAATTTGATACTTTGATATGGTGATTAAGTCATTAAGTGTGGATAAGTCATTAATGAGGATATTAAGAATATTGACCTTAGTATCAATCCTGAGAAACATCAAGAGTGATCAGCTGCCATTTGGTCTTAATACTGATGATCACAACATTTAGAATCCAGTAGTCTAGCCAGTTTTCCACCAACCCTATAATCCACCTATCCAAACCACATCTCTCCAGTTTGGCTACAAGGATACTATAAGAGGTTATGTCAAAAGCCTGACTAATATGAAAGTAAAGAAAATCCCCTGCTCTCCCCTTGGCCACACAGCCGGTCATTTCTCAATAGAAGGCTATCATGTTGGTCAGGCACAACATATCTTTGGTAAATC